CCAGGGGCCGCAGCGCGCGCGGCGCACGGACGCCAGCGAGGTGCCGCTGTGCTTGGCCAGGAGCAGGAGCCAGGACAGCATGGCTTCGCTCCGCAGGGAGGCGGCGAGGCGGCGCGGGCGGCGGGGTGAATCACAACTGGGCCCTAGCGACTGCGACTGCGTCACACGCCCCTTTTCTTCCCGGGGCTCCGAGTTCCACGCGGCCGGGGCGCGCCTGGCGCGTTTGGGCGCAGACGACAGTGACACGACTCCCTCTATCTCAACGTTGCCCCTGTCCTCGCCGCAAGATTTCTGCCCTTGGGCCTTTGTGATTTATTATTTCCCCTAAGTTAAACATGCTGTCAGAAAAGCTCGCAAGGGGCCTTGGGCAAGAAAGGCCTGAGCCAAGCCCTGCTCCCCCCAGCTGCTTCTGTCCCCAGGGAAGCCGGGCCACAGTCCACTCCCGAAGTGGGTGTTTATAAATTGACTTTCTGATTATTTTCACAAATTTAAGCATGGAAGCAATTACCATCCCTGGCCTGGTGGCTACTGGTTGGAGCGTGGTCCTGTTCACCTAAAGGAGGCAGGTTGGGTTCCCCGTCAGGGCACATAAGGGAGGCAACCCAGGGATGTTTCCCTCCCTCCCTCTCTCTCTCCCCCCCCTTCCTCTCTCCCATTCTCCCTCTCTCTAATTCAATAAAAACATATCCTAGGGTGAGGATTTAAAATTAAAAATTAAGTTGAAGGAAATAATTACCAGTATAGTGGGCAGATTTTCAAGAGTCTGTAGTAAGACAGTGCTTTCATTTTATTTTTAAATATAAATTTATCTTCATTGCAAATAAATCAGATATAGTAGGAAAGGGAAGAATGTATAAATAACCTGAACTTGAGGTTCCTCTCCTGGCCTTCGTTAATGCAGATATGTATTTTTTAGAAGGCAAATTTTAAAAAATTGAATTTAAAATAGCATTTGACTTGCTCTGACCTGGTGGCTCAGTCGGCTGGAGCACCCTCTCCTACAACAAAAGGTTGTGAGTTTGATCCCTGGTCGGGGCGCATATCTAGGTGCAGGTTTGATCCCTGGTCAGGGCGCATATGGAAAACAACTCTTCACTGCTTCTCTCTCCCTTCCTCTCTTTCTAAAAAGCGATGAAAACACATCCTTGGGTGAGGATTACGAACATATAAAAACAAAAATTTAAAAAATATAAAATAGCATTTAACTTTAAAAGAATATATATTTTCAGTTTGTTGAGAAAATGAGGATTAACTCTCAGAAGAAAATTCAAAACATCCCAATTCTTCCTCTACTCAGAGAGAACCATTGTTAAAATGTTCATGGCAATTCTTACAGATAAAAACACACATATATCACAGACACCCAAAAGGAAACATGCATCTTTATTGGCTTTATAGTGGTATAGTTGACATAAAATAAACTACAGATACAACTTGATAGAGTTTGACATAATACAGCTGTGAAACCATCACCAAAATCGAGATAACGAACATATCATATCGTCTCCCAGAGCTTCCTCATGCCCCTGAGTATTTTGTAATTTCCTTCTTTCTGCATCTCTCTCTGCTCCATATCATTCTGGCACCCACTGATCCCTTTTCCTCACTAGACAGATTAGTTTGCATTTTCTAGAATTTTATATAAAGGGAATCAGTATTTTTGGCTAGGTTTCTTTCACTCAGCATAATTATTTTGAGATTCACCCATGTTGTCGTGTGTATCAATTATTTTGATGGCTGGGAAGTATTCCACTCTATGGATACAGCAAATTTGTTTATTCTTTCACCTGCTGATGTTCATTTTGGTTGTTTACAGTTTTGCTCCCATTGCTCTTGGATCAATATTTTGTATGGAGTGGCTAGATCAGATGGTACGTGTATGTTTAACTTTTTAAGGAACTTCAAATTGTTTTCCAAAGTGGTTGTACCATTTTACATTCCCATCAGCAGTGTGTGAGTTCAAGTTCCTTTACATCCTTGCAAACACTTGGTATTGTCAATTATCTAAGTTTAATTTAAAATTTAAATTTTTAAAAAGGAACTTGATAATGATTTCGAGTCTAATGTAACTGAATAAAATAAACATTCAGTCAAAAAATAAATAAAATTTAAGTTTTAGCCACTCTGTTATTTCCTTTTTAAATTGCATTACCGGAATAACTAATGATGCTGAGTATATTTTCACATACTTCTTTGCCAACCATATATCTTTGGTGTACTGTATGTTCAAATCTTTTGCTTATTTGTTGGGTAATTTTTTTCTTGTGGTTGCTTGATTTCTTATGGTTGCTGGGTCTTTGATATTAGTACTGCTTCTGTTCAGGTCTCCTTTATATTATCTGTATATTACCTGCTCTATAGTACCTTGTGTGTTTCTTTGGGTAAATCCGATTACCTTTCTAGGTCAGTTTCCTCAACTGGAAACTTAGGATCCTACTTACTTCCAGTAGGTGGTTGAAAGGGTTAAGGATACTTACCACAGTGCCTAACCCAGAATAAACCACCAAAATATTTTTTGATAGTTCTTATTGGATAATTTCTATTTAATTGTTCAAACCCAATTATTTTATATTATTCTGCAAACAATGCTTATTATTGAATGGAAAAACTTAAACAGCTTATAAAGAATGCCTAAATGAATCATATTATTGCTATTATGTATGAATAGTGAGGTAGAAATTCCTGTGTTACAGGGACATATCAAACTTACAGTTTCGCAGTAAGCTCCCAGGTCTCAAATGAGCGTCGTGAAGTGTGCCATAAAGGGAGGTGGGTGCCTAGGACCTGGTAGCGCTTAAATTCTGCTTGTAGAATGTGATTGATATTCACCAAGCAATCTCTCACTGTTTTTTGCTTCTGCATACCCATTTTTGTTTTTATTTTCCCCAAATTTTGCTATTCCTAAAATGTAGTTCCCTAAAGACAGGTTATGAAAATGATTCTTTAGAGTGGTATTAAATGCCAACTGCTGCTACTAGTGTTTTAGGAGAAATGATGCTCTTTATATAAATGCTTATCCCCAAGGTAATAAAAAGCATAGATATAAAACCAATGCAATACATGAAATGTAATGTAAAACAATGCCGTAAAACACAATATACATTAGGTGGCCCATGTTGATTTGTCAGATATGTTTCTTCTTCCCATTATAACTTTTATCATATATTTTGCTGGACTTTGAAAATGCAAGGATCTGGTAGGTGTTGTTTTTATCTTATGGGCATTTCGATTTCTAGTATTCATAGTAAAATTAATAGTGTTCTACCAAAAATACAAACACAGACAATGACTCTTATCATTGATGTTTCTATCTCTCTCTCTCCCTCTCCTTTCTTCTCTCTGAAATCAATAAAGATATATTTACAAAAATAAATAAATATAAATAAAATTTCAAGGCTTTTTAAAATTTAGAATGACATTAAATAAAGAATAAAGACAGTGACAAGCAAGAGAAACTACAGAAGAAAGGAAGAATATTTTCCATTTTGTTATCTTTAATAGCACTTTTTTCCCTGCTTTTTGAACAAAATGGAATACGTTTTCATTTTGTACAGCCCGAGTGTAGGATAACTTGAGGCGATCCCACAGGGGAACCCTGGAGCAAGTGGGGCAAGGAGCTGGGCTTTCATACTCCTGCATCAGCCAGACATCGTCTAAGCCTCTCTGTTTGTCTGCAGGTCCTGGCAAAGCAGCCCCAGTAGCCTGATGGCTGGCTTTCTAATAGTGTCACAGTGTCTCTTCTCAGAAGAAGCACACAGAAGAGCGGGGAGGGGAGGAATACACCAATGGAGAAAGGTCTCCAAGGTGTTCCTGGGCAGTATACCAGCATCTCCTAACTTCTTGCCTGACCTAATGTCTTACTGAGATCAGTGCAGTATCCAATAGAAAATAGATGGCACAATTAAAAATTAGAATAATTCTAAAAGGATTGTGTACAGATGAATGGACAGGAAAGCCAGAAGAGATAGTTCAGCCTCCTGGAGCTGGTCTCAAGAGGAAGACTGTTTACCAGGCGAGAGTGAGCTGTTCAGAGAGAATGACTTCGAAAGGAGCAAGTACACCTGTTTGAGGCACAGGGCCAACATCAGGAAACCTAGAAGGGAAGAATCCTATGGAATAAATTCCCTGACCTCACTCTCTTCTTCTCCTTGGTTCTCTTGCTCGAGCTTCCCTAACAGAAAGCCAGAAGGTAGGGAACTTGTAGTGCATTCAGATCAGCCCCTGAAGAAGAGAACAAGGCAGGGAGGTAGGAGATTGGGCCTGCAGAAGCAAAAATAAGGTACCAGACTCTTACTCTCTTCCAATATACTGTCTATAGAGTGGCCACATACAGCCTTTTCAAATGTAAGTATGAGTAAATCATTCCCTTGCTTTAAACCTTTTTACTGGTTCCACACTAAACTACATAGTCCTGCAAAATACATTCTTTTTTGCTTCTTTGTGGCTATTCTCTTGCTAGTTCCAGCACCTTTTACTTTTCCTAAACCCCCAATATGCTCCAATCATTATAAACTTTCTTGTAGACACTAGAAGGTATCATTTGGCTTCTACATGCTGCGTCCACTCCATGGAGCAGTGTTCCACCCAGAATCAACCATAGGAGGAGTGTGGGCAGAGGGTTAACAAAATCAACCTTTTTTACTTCTGCATAAGATTGTGACAACTGGTTAATTGCCTAGCTCTGTTAAAATGTGGAGTATATGTCTAGGCAACCTTGCTCGTGGAAAAATTACCCATGATTGGCAAATTAGCATTGCGTTTCTCTGAGTGTGTTGTCTCTTGTTCCCTGGCATGTCCTTAGTGGGACTCATGGGAGCTGTGGAGCTGTAACAAGAGATATGGACTCCTGTGGGACATGAGGCTTTTCAACCAGGGCATCTCTCATACTCATTTTATAGAGATCTTGAGAGGATGCTTGACGCTATTCTGTCAGTAAGCTATGCTTCTTGTCCTATGTCCTTCTGAGTGGTGCTAGTCTTGTAAGTATGAATGTTTATTTGAACCCACGAAGGCCCTTTAGTGGTTGCCACAGAGAATAAACAAATTAATGTGGGTTTCTCTTCTGACAAGCCCCTGCTGCT